GGGGGGGGGGGGGGGTAGGAGCACAGGAACTCGGTGGGTCTGTATCAGCGTACAGTGAAGGGGCTGTACCAGGCTGCTGAGATGTCCCCGTGTGAGGGCTTCCAGCAGAGGGGCTTGTGGGGATCGGAGTAGGAAGCACACGTCTGTAACCTGAGTAGTATGTGGAGTAGGCAGGGGATATGGAGCCTTGCCCGGTCGTGTGACTGTGCACCCGCATCCGGCCAGGCCGTCCTATGAGATGTTTTTGCGAGAGCAGATCCCGTGCTGCGTGCGTGTGGTGTGTGCGTGGTGTGCGCGTGGGTGCATTTGGGAGACGCGTCAAGATGTACGGATGCGTGTGCCTTGTGCTTTTGCACACGGACTGTGCGGAAGTAGGTGAAAGGCATGCTGGGATCTGCAGTAAAGAGCGAGGCTATCGGGCACACAGCTGCCCAGATGGTGCCCAAGCACTGTCCACGTGCTCCCCGGCAGCGGCCTCCACGGGGACGCTCGGTCTGAGGCTGGTTCCTCGCTGGAGAATTCCTCTGTGGACATGAGTGCGACACTTCAGGGATCGCTGCTCCCCACCTGTGTCCTTGGAAGGCCGTGCGGCCCCCGGAGGCGGCCCCCTGCTTCCTGCCCACTAGACAGGCAGCGACAGCCGCTTCTCCATCGGCAGGAGCTTGGGCTGAGCGGAGATCCAGAGGTCGTCCTCCCCCTTCCTCTTCCTCTTCTTCTTCCCCTTGTTGCGCCCTGGCCGCTGGCCACCGTCGCCCGGCCGGCTCCAGCAGGAATAGCAGCAGACGAAGAGCAGCGCGATGACCAGCAGCAGCGGCAGTGCCAGGATGACGCCCAGGCAGACGGTGTTGAAGAGCCCCTCTTGGTGTTTGGTCAGGATGGTGTCCCAGATGTCACTGAAGAAGGAGCCGACTTTCTCCATGGTGCTCAGCTCACCGCCGAGCCCCGGGCTCGAGGGGACGCGGCCCGGTTCACGTGTGGCTGAGTCCTCTTGGGGCCGGGGGGTCTGGACACGCCACGGAGAGCACCTGGAGAGGGCGAAACGCACAAGTCAAGAAAAACGCGGAGGAACGCCCTGCAGTTTCTCATAACAGCATAGATTTTAGGCTTAGGAAAGAGGAAGGAATGGAAGATTTCCAGGGTTTGCTGAAATCATAAGAGACGCGATAAATGAGATATCTGCACGCACTTCGTCAATAGGTGTTCGTTCATTCTCGCTATGTCCGCACGCTGCTGCTGGGCGTAGGAGGTGAAAATTAATAGGATTTCGGTCCTGGCGCACAGTAGCTGCTCAGCAGTGGCTGGGGAAACGCATCGCTAGGCATAGCCGGGGTTCTGCGGGCCTTTTCGGTGGAAAAGGCGTCTTGAAGGCGGCTCAGCTGTGGTGCTTGGGAACTGGGGTGGGGCCCCTGGACGCCTCCCTACTCCTGTCCCGAGCTCAGCTTACAGCTGGGTCTGCTCTGGTTGCTTGTCCAGAGTGGCCCCCCTTCCTCTGGCACCCCCTCCACCCCTCCACACATATCTTAGCCCTCAGGGCTCAGGTATAAGGTCTTAGAGGCTCCTTCAGTTCTGGAATCCGCAGGTTCTTGTGTCCAAAGGAGACTCGGAGGACAAGCATGATTCAAGGAAATGTAAGAGACTTCTTTGTGCAAGACATTGCCCAGGACCCAGAGATCACCCTTGACCTTAGCCCAAAGACCCCGAAAGCAATGGGACCCAAAGATCAAAGAGCCATTGGTTTTCAGGCTGAAGACTGTAGAGCTCACCCCATCCAACTCTCTCACATGAAGATGGAGTCTGAGGCCCAGGGTGGGGAGGTGACATGTCTGAGAACACACAGTTGTGACAAACACCCAGACCTCTGGACAATGGGTCCAGCACTCTCCCAAGGCTGCCGGGCCAGCGAAAGAACTAAGGATGGTGACATTACTTTACACTTGTTTTTCATTTGATACTTTAAAAGTCACCTTCATGTGAATTATATCTCCTAGGTGAGCAACAGGATGGCGCATTGTCAATGGGGGTAAGTGCTGGGGATGTGGGTCCAGAATCATAGTTTCATTCTGTTTCCTGCCCTGGAGCAGGAGCGTGGCCTCACCTGGGCAGTGTGTCACAGTGGTGCCCCAGGGCTTGTCCTCGAAGTCTGTGCCCTTGGATAACACACTCTATAAGCACCCCATGTACCCAAAGCTCCTGAGTCCTTGGAAGCCCACATGACCTCAGCCCTGGTCTGCTGGCCGGTGGCCCCACACCCTCAGGGTACAATGTCTGCAGCTGTATAAATTGGCTCCTGCTGCTGTGACATTTGGTCCCTGGGAAGAAGTGAGACTCTAAGATGGCAGGTAACACCTTACACCTGCTGGTCATTAAGTCTTCATTACGACCTGACCAAGTGGACGTGGTTGTTTCCCAGCCCTCTAGCCGAGGACACGGAGGCACAGGCCCCACAGTGAGTGAGGGGTGGCGCTGGCCTTTCTGATTCTGGGAAGTTTGGCCCCTGATGCCCAGGGTGAGCCCTTCACTGGTGTTGCTCTGGGCCACCTCTCCCTTTGTGTGGAATTAACCCACTTTTGGCAAGTAGCCCTAGATGTTCAGAATCTTACGATACTTGGCTGCTCCTCAGATTGATATGTTTATCCCTGTTGTAGACAAAGACGGCAAAGAGATTTACTTCCTGTTGTTAGATACTTCACGAAGGCACGAGACAGGCAACGAAACCCGGGCCCTGCCCAGGTGAAGGCTTATAGAAAGCACGGCTGCCCAAACTTACTCAACAGACAACAAAGAGAAGTGTTCTGAGAAGTCACAGCCCCTCTGGGGGCCTGGGGACACCGAGCCGTGGGTCTGCCCACACGCCACCAAGCCTGCAGGCTCTAGATCGAGGAAAGCCACCCGTGTGCCCTGTGACACGCCGTGGCCACGCACTGCCTCAGCGCCTCACACCCCTCGTCTCCTCTGCCCTTTACCATGACCTTTGCTGTGACCTCAGCCTTGGATTTCACTGCTTTGTTGTGGGAAGACGTTGGGTACTTTTCTCTACTTTGATTCTACAACCGAGAGCTTTGCTGGGACCAGATGCTCTTTGCAGTGCATTTGTGTGGCTCAGAGAGGGGGGCTGTCGGTCGCGGCCGGGGTTCAGAGGGCCTTCATAGGGTGCATTAACTTGGGGGCTCTGTAACAGGAGGAGGGTGTTGTGATCAGAGCTGCCCTTCAGGAAAAGATAACAGGATCTGAAAAGCTCTGGAAAATGCTTCGAGAAAGGCCTTCACGCATTTAACAGACATTTATCGAGCACCCACTATATGGCACACATTGCGTGGTGTTGAGGATTTAGTGATGCAGGTCCAAGGTGTGGTTCCTGCTGTCATGGAGCCTCGTACATGCTGATCACTGAGGGATCAAGTCATAAAGGTCAAACAGAATCAGCAAATTCCAGCTTAGGTTGCTTAGCTGGCTGAAATGGAAGCATGTATTTGAATTACGTGTTTATCCCAGTGTCCCAGGCCCTCCCGCCCCTCCCAGCCTTTGTCTCAAGCTCGTCCATCCCACGGCACCTCAAGTAGTCTTTGAATAAATAGGTTTCTCTTCGAGCTAAAGCCAAGTCAATAATTCCCGTCTGGATTGCTAGCGGTACTGATCTGAGTCTGCTCTCCACACAGCCAAAGAGAGCATTCATTAACATTTGGGAACCCAGTCTGGGGGAAATTCGATTAAAAGGTATTCTTTATATTTTTCAATCTGAGAATTCTCTTCTGGGCCCCCAGGTTAGTTGCTGAGCTCTGCTAATCTGTAGCGTTTCATGAGTATTTATGAGCCTCGCATTATTAGCATTTCCAGGAAACAATCACGCGTCTCCTGGGTGGTATGAGTTAAAAGTTAGAGCTTCCATAGACTGTTTGCAAAAGGAGCCACACTTTGGGCCTTACACTGTAAGGCAGTTCATCTCTCCTTGTAAAACCAAAGCAGGTGCCAATCAACCTGGATTGTTTGGTTGTGGTTGTGGTTGTGGGGGCAGGTGTGAGGAGAGAGAAGAGGGGAAAAGTTACTTTGAGTTTACTTGAAACCAAAAATTTTTCGTCTCTCTGCTCTCCGCAGTGTCTAGCTGGGGAGACAGTCATTCATGTCCCCGTTCTTCCCACAAACCTCTGTCTGGCTGCGTGCGAGGTGCTGATAGAGCGCGATGATCTTGGGGCCCGAAGACCTGGGTCTGAGCTCTGGCTCAGCGTGCGCAACCGCGGTTAGTTACCGAACCTCAGCTACAAAGGGAAGCTCATAAGCTTTCCTCCTAACGATGCTGTGAAGATTAAAAGAGCTCAGTGTATTTAGTGCATTTTGTAAACGGCAAAATGCTACAAAACATAATCTGTAAAATCCTGGGCTTTCTCCAGATAACAGCCGACTAAAAGCCTGGAGCTTTTCCTCTCCATTCCTCACTCCAAGCCTCACTGCCAAAGAGCCACGGGCCCCCACCCCATCCCAGTGAAAAGGGTTTCACAGGCAGCTTCCCTGCTTGTGGCTGGTCTGCAGGTCTGTGACTGTGTTCTAGACCCTGGCATCCTGCGACAGGGGACAGGGATCGGGGAGGGCCGCTTGGGGAACATCTGGGGGTGCCTGGAGGACTGCTGAGCTCACGACATGAGTGCAGGGGGAGTGCCCAGCCCTCTGCTGCCCCAGCCTCCCTTCTAGGCTCTGGGAGCCCTGGCTGTGTGCAGGGAAGGCTCCTTCCCCTGGAAGGTTGGATCCACCCCTGAGAACCAAGAGCCGGTCCAGAGCTGTGTCCAGGCTGGTCCTCAGACTGGTGTTCCCTCTGGAGCCCCCCAAGCAGGGGCCGGGCCTTCTAGTTTACACCAGCCTATCACTGTTCCTGCGTATCAGATATGGTGATACCTGCAAGCTGTGGAGTAGTAGCTGTTGGCTACTAAATGCCTCCTACAAATGTGAAGACCACAATGGGACCCAGTTAAAATCCCTGAGACCAACTCCAGAGTGACCAGTGGCCCACATCTTTACCCCATCTTGAGAGGAGTGGGGGGAGGTGGGGAGTTTCGGTCTCTCCCAGAACCTTCAAAGACTCCTGGGCCGCAGCTGCAGACTGCTGGGTGTGTGTGGGGCCATCTCATGATTGAAAGTTTGCGACAAAGACCTCTGAGCCCCCCGCCTTGTACTGTGGTCATGGACGTGTGTGCTGATCTCTCCACCGAGGATCTCGGGGACCGCGGTGGACGTCTGGCCAGTCTGGCTGCCTCGGAGTCACCAGGGAATTTAAGATGCAGATCCCTGGGCTGCTCTCCTGGAGACCCTGGTTCAGCAGGTCAGGGGCGGGCCCAGGGATTGATGTTTGTAACAAAGAGCCCAGGTGTTTCTGGACGGTTGTCAGGTTCAAGAGCTGCTGTGTGAGCAGGCTGACCACTGGTTTTATAGGAGCACAGGTGGCTGTGAGCAAGGGATGGATCTTGGACGAGGGCAGAAGACAGTGTGATGGGTCCTGGGTCATGGGAGCAGCACAGCAGGAGGAGCAGGCAATTCGATCCAGAGGGGTTTGCGGGAAAATGACTCAAAGGAAATGACAATCAGATGGGTGTCTGCCCAGCATTCGGTCCGTGACTACTCACGGAGCCATGTTACACGCCGGGGACTGTGTTGGGCCTGGGTGTCGAGAACACGGAGACCCGATCCTGCCCTTTCAGCGCTCAGGGCCTAGCGCAGGAAGCGGACGCTCCTCAAGGAGCGCAGCTGACACGTGTGAACCCGTAATCCTGGAGCCGGCTGGAGGGAGGGGCCTGTGGGCCGTGGGGGTGAGTGACACCCGGGGAGGTCAGAGCAGGCTCTGGGCAGGGCCGGCTTCGCAAAGATCTTAATTATAAAAACAGCAAACACGTGTCAGGGCGTCTGGGAAGTCTTGAAACAGAGACTAAACGTCTGCAGAGCATTTTTAAGTAACAGGCCTGACACGTTTTCCCCCAACCGCGGATACCGCTTCAGGTGAAGGGCCCCTGAATTCAACTGTTAGGACACTAAAAAGTG